TCCTGCACTGCTGGTCTACTGCTGTCTGGCTAACCCCTAGTGTCCTCACTTTTGACGCTGAGGGTCGGGCCATTGACTTTGAGGTCTGGGTAGATGACCTACAGCTGTTCTTACAGTGCGATAGGGCGGACGGCCTCTCTCTCTTTGACCTCACCTCTGGCGCTTCCCCTGCCCCTGCTGCTGATGCTGACGCCACTGTTCGCATCCCAATGGGCCACGCGCGATGCTGCTGCACGTCTTGCTGTGCGTCGCCACCTTCCCTACCTCCGAGCGTGCGCACTTTTAGTCAGTACAAGAGTGCTCAGACCTTGTATGCCGCTGTAGTCGCGCGCTACTCCTCCCCTTCCACTGCTTGCACTGAGCCGTCTCATGCTGCCGTACCTCTTCCCTGACCTTGCTTCTTTTCCCACCGTTGCTGACCTCATTACGCACCTCCGCACTAGTGACACTCGCTACCGCGCTGCACTTCCTGCTGACTTCTGCACCGCGAACCCCCCCCCCATGTACATCACTCTGTACTTCCTAGTCACTCGCCTCCCTGACTCCCTTCGAGTAGTCAGGGACCACTTTCTCTCAGTCTGTCCCACCACACTCACTGTAGACCTCCTCGAGAAGGCCCTCCTCGCGATAGAAAAGAGCATAGTCGCTGTAGGAGCCTCTCGAGGTGACCCGCGCACCCCCATCTTTGAGGGGTGTTCTCCCTCCCCCCTGCTGCCCTCTGTTGCCTCTGCTGCTTCGGCCGACCTCCTTGGTCTTGAGTCGGTCGGTGCGGCGTCTGCCCCTAGCGGGAGACGCCGCCCTGGCAAGGGCAAGGGGGGCAAGGGAGCTGGAGGAGCGGGCGGTGGAGGTGGAGGTGGAGGCAGTGGGGGGAGTGGGGGTAGCGGTGGAGGTGGAAGTGGGGGTGGGGGGTTCGGTGGCGGCAGTGGGAGGCGGAGGCCGCGGCGGCGGTGGCGGTGGTAGCGGAGGTGGCGGAGGAGGCGGCGGTGGAGGAGGCGGTGGAGGCGGCGGCGGCAGTGGAGGCAGCGGAGGCGGTGGAGGCGGTGGGGGTGGCGGTGGAGCTGGTCGCGGGTCTTTGCAGAGGAGTGGCTCCGGTGGTGGCTCGCGCCAGCAGCAGCAGCGTGGTCGTGCGACCCTGTCCCCTCAGCAGCTCCGTGAGTGGTACACTGCACGCCAGCGGGGTGGGGGTTTTGGTCCGTGTACCTACGTCCTGCGCACCGGCGACCGTGCGGGTGAGCAGTGTGGGGGTGCGCACCCCACTCCGCGCTGCTTTGGCCGCCTGACGGACGCATGGCGTCACCAGTTCCCGGAGGCCTCCGAGATCCCTCGCTGGGACGAGCTGTTTAGGGCGGGGGTTGCCATCTTTGATCTGGACTTTGATGCTATTCTCTCTGCCATGTATGCTGTGTCTCTAAGTGATGAGGGTGACTGTTACCGGTGTTTCCAGCCCGATCCGGGCATTGAGACTGCTGCTCTAGGTACTGGTGAGGCTGCTGCCCTAGGTGCTTACGACGCTGCTGCTCTAGGTGCTGGTGTGTCTGCGTCCTCAGGTACTGGTGAGTCTGCTCTCTCAGGTACCGCGTCGGCTTCGGCCTCCCTCACCTTCACTCTTGACTCTGGGGCGTCTCGCTCCTTCTTTCGGGACCGCACCACACTCACGCCGCTTAGTCGGCCGGTTTGCGGTGTCTCTGGCTGACCCCTCTGGGGGTCCGGTCCTGTCTCGTTTCTCCACAGTCCTCCCGTGTCCGGCGGCTCCCTCTGGCACCCTGTCTGGTCTCTACCTCCCCTCGTTCTCGACGAACCTGGTGAGTGGTGCTGACCTACAGGATGCGGGTGTCCACCAGTTCACTCCTGCACGTCAGCGAGTGACCCACTGTACAGAGGCTGGCACAGGCCGACACCTGGCTACGTTCACCCGTCAGCCGGGGTCGAGCCTGTACACTCTGACCACTGCGTCTCCTCCAGTTGCTGAGTCTGGTAGGGTAGTTACGTCGGGTCAGGTGTTTGCTGCGGCGTCCAGGTCTGGTCCTGAGTCTGCCCCCTGTTCGTGTCGTCTCCTGTCTCACGAGACTCTCCTCTGGCACCACCGCCTTGGCCACCCCTCTCTGCTTCGGCTCAGAGGTATGGCCTCCCGTCTTCTTGTGTCCGGTCTCCCCCGGTCCCTCCCTCCCCTTCCTCAGGGCCCTGGCCCTGCCTGTGTCCCCTGTGTCGAGGGGCGCCAGCGTGCTGCCCCTCACTCCTCCCAGTTTCCTTCGACAGAGGCCCCGTTGCAGACACTTCACATGGACGTGTGGGGCCCAGCCCGCGTCCGTGGACAGGGTCACGAGCGCTACTTCCTGCTCGTTGTTGACGACTACTCGCGTTACACCACAGTCTTCCCCTTGCGCAGCAAGGGTGATGTCACTGAGGTGCTGATCGACTGGATCCGCGCAGCTCGTCTCCAGCTCAGGCAGAGCTTCGGCTCGGACTTTCCTGTTCTGCGTCTGCACTCGGACAGAGGCGGAGAGTTCTTCTCTGGCCTTCTGCGTGCCTACTGTCGTGCACGGGGCATCCGTCAGACCTTCACGCTTCCGGACTCACCGCAGCAAAATGGGATTGCTGAGCGCCGCATTGGCATGGTCATGGACGTCGCTCGTACGTCTATGATGCATGCGGCTGCCCCCCATTTTCTGTGGCCGTTTGCGGTGAGGTACGCGGCGCATCAGATCAACCTCCACCCCAGGGTCTCCAGGCCGGAGACCTCCCCAGCCTTGCTGTGGACGGGGAAGGTTGGCGATGCGTCGGCGTTCCGGGTCTGGGGATCTCGGGCGTTTGTCCGCGATCGGTCTGCGGACAAACTATCCCCTCGTGCTGCTCCTTGCGTCTTCCTGGGGTTCCCCCCTGACGCGCCTGGGTGGCAGTTTTACCCACCCCACCTCTCGCCGTGTTCTGTCCTCCCAGGACGTCACGTTTGACGAGTCGGTCCCCTACTACCGCCTCTTCCCCTACCGCACTCCGTCCCTCCCCCCACCCCCACTCTTCCTGGTACCAGGTCCCCCCCAGGTAGACCCCCTCCCCCCTCAGGGTCCTGCCCCTTCAGGTGTGTCCCAGGTAGACGCAGTCGAGCCTGTCGAGGTCACTGGTGACTCTGGTGCTGCTGAGGGTGCTGAGGCTGGGGGTGCTGTACCTGGGGGTGCGGAGCCTAGGGGTGCTGGGCCTGGGGGTGCTACGTCTGGGGGTGCTGAGCCTGGGGGTGCTGAGCCTGGGGGTGCTGAGCCTAGGGGTGCTGAGCCTGGGGGTGCTGAGCCTAGGGGTGCTACATCTGGGGGTGCTGAGCCTAGGGGTGCTACGCCTGGGGGTGCTGAGCCTGGAGGTGCTCCGCCTGGCGGTTCTCCGAGTGCTTCGTCTCGCCGGGGAGCCACTTTCTCCACAGGAGCTGCGTGAGTGGTTTGCCCGGCGCTGGAGGCGTGCTGCTGGTGCTGGAGGTCCTTCGGCTGCTGAGGGTGCTGCGGTCGCGGGTCCCGGAGGTGCTCGTCCTGGGTGCACTGGAGCTGGTGCTGCTGAGGGTGTTGGCGCTGAGACTACCGCTGGCAGTCCTACTGGGGGTGCTCCTGGTGCTACTGGAGGTTCTGGAGCTACTGGTGGTGCTGCTGGAGCGGGTGCTCCTGCTGAGGGTTCTGGTGCTGTCCCTGCTGCTTCTAGCGTCGCCGCGCGGCCTCGACCGTACTTCGTTCCACTCCTGCAGCAGGTTCTTGGTCTTCCACCTTCTACTGGTCCTCCTCCTCCCTTAGAGTGTCCACAGCCTGTCTCGTCCCAGCTACAGTTGCAGCCTACCTCCCCTTTGCCTGCTCCTTCTCCCTACACTGGTCCTACTGGAGGTCTGGCTGAGCGTCGTGAGCCTGCGTCTCGCCCTGCGTCGCCTGTCCGTGCTGCTCGCACTAGTGGTCGCGGTTCGCGTCAGCGTCCTCCTCCTGTCCCTGGCACGCACCGGATGTCTCTGCGTCCGTCCACTGCTCCTCTGCGTGCCCCTTTGCCTTCTCCTCCTGAGTCCTCTCTTCCTGCTCTTCCCGACCCGGAGTCGGACTCTCTTCGTGCTGCCAGTCCTACTGTCACGCGTCTCCTTGCTACTGTTGTCACTGACCCTTCTTTCGAGTCTACTGCTGCGTCTGCTCTCGTTACTGAGCTCGTCGACTTTGCTGCTCGCTGTCGCTTAGACTACGCTGCTAGTCTTGTCGCTGAGTCTGAGTCTGTCTGTCCTCCGTCCGTCGGGGGTGAGTGTGCCCTTGGCACGGACGTCCTTGAGGACAGGCAGGAGGAGTTCCAGTGTCTGGCAGCTGCCTCACCTCATCTCGTGTCCGTACTGCTTACCCCTGAGGGAGACCCGGATGCACTTGACATCCCGACTCCGCGCTCTTACGCGGAGGCGATAGAGGGTCCCTACTCCTCTCAGTGGCAGGCAGCTATGGATGCAGAGATGGCTTCCTGGAAGTCCACAGGCACCTACGTTGACGCTGTCCCCCCTCCTGGGGCGAACATCGTCAGTGGCATGTGGATCTTCAGGGTGAAGCGGCCGCCGGGTTCTCCGCCTGTCTTCAAGGCGCGTTACGTGGCTCGTGGCTTCAGTCAGCGGCAGGGAGTTGACTACTTTCAGACCTTCTCCCCCACCCCGAAGATGACCACTCTTCGGGTACTGCTGCACACTGCTGCTCACCGTGACTACGAGCTGCACTCTCTTGACTTCAGCACAGCTTTCTTGCAGGGCAGCCTGCACGAGGAGATCTGGCTGCGTCGCCCACCTGGCTTCACTGGGTCTTTCCCTCCTGGTACCCAGTGGAGTCTCCGGCGTCCAGTCTACGGTCTCCGCCAGGCGCCACGTGAGTGGCACGACACACTGAGGACTACGCTTGCGGCTCTTGGGTTTGCTCCTTCTACTGCCGACCCGTCGCTGTTTCTACGCACCGACACCTCTCTGCCGCCGTTCTACATCCTCGTGTACGTCGACGACTTGGTCTTTGCCACAGCTGACACTGCTGGACTCGCCTACGTGAAGTCCGAGCTGCAGAAGAGACACACGTGCACAGACCTGGGTGAACTGCGCAGCTACCTTGGCTTGCAGATCACCCGGGACAGAGCACGCCGCACCATTACCCTGACTCAGTCACACATGGTGCAGCAGGTCCTTCAGCGCTTCGGCTTCACGTACTCCTCGCCTCAGGCCACTCCTCTGTCTACTCGCCACTCGCTCTCAGCTCTGCCTTCGGATGAGTCCGTAGAGTCGAGTGGCCCGTACCCAGAGCTTGTTGGCTGCCTCATGTACCTGATGACCTGCACACGACCTGACCTTGCATACCCTCTTAGCATTCTTGCACGCTATGTTGCTCCTGGGAGACACAGACCAGAGCACATGGCTGCAGCGAAGAGGGTGTTGCGCTACTTGTGCAGTACGTCGGGCATGGGGCTAGTGCTTGGAGGGCGGAGTCCAGTGGTCCTCACTGGGCACGCGGACGCTTCTTGGGCTGACGACCAGGCTACGCAGCGGTCGTCACAGGGTTACACCTTCAGCCTTGGTTCCGGCTCTGTTTCGTGGCGGGCTACTCGCTCGTCTTCTGTTCTTGGCTCGAGTTGTGAGGCTGAGATCTACGCCGGGGCCATGGCTGCACAGGAGCTTCGCTGGCTCACCTACCTGCTGACCGACCTTGGAGAGCCGCCTCGTTCTCCTCCAGTCCTGTACGTAGACAACAAGGCCATGCTGGCCTTGTGTCGAGAGCAGTGACTGGAGCACAGAACAAAGCACATTGCTCTCCGCTACTTCCTTGCTCGTGAGCTACAGCAATGTGGACAGTTGCGGCTTGCGTACGTGGCCTCTGAGGCCAACACTGCTGATGTCTTCACCAAGGCACTTCCGCCTTGTGATCATCAGCGCTTCTGCACTCAGCTGGGTCTTGTGCCCGTCTTGCCTCACTTGCTCTCCTCTTGACCTTGCTTGTACTCTCACATATTTATATACCTGCTCTTGCTTGTCTAGCTTTATATATATGTGTGTACTCTTGCATGTGAACTGGCCGTGTGGCCTTGACCCTGTGCTCGGACTGTGTGGTGTCTTTGTGATCCACCCTGAGCTTGCTTTGCTTTGCTTTGCTTGACTGGTCTTGTGACCCCTTGTTCTCCCCCACTTTGCCTATGGGGGTGTGTCAGAACATTATAGCTTATGCTGTTGTGTAGGCTATAGTGGGGTATCCCATAGGGGGTACAACCAATTAGGGTTTCATATTTGTACTCACTTCATTTTCATAGTTCACTCATTCTCGTTCTCATTATCACAACTCTTGCTCGTGATACCATGTTGGGCTGAGTGCCCCTTAGGATCTTTGGTAGGGTTAAACTCTGGGTAGAGTGATGTAGTAGCGGAAGCGTTTAAATGAAGCCCTTGAACCACCTTGCGCTGGTATGTGAGGGCAAAGTAAGTTGATTAAAACAAGCAAGTACAAAGGTTTATATAAGAGTACAAAGAATACGAAGAGATATAATTAAACTGTTTTACTGTTGCGGTTCGATACAGTGCGACTCGGGCAACTGCTCAATGTCGAGTCAGTTGTGTGTCCTTGCTGTCGCGCTGCATTTGTCAAGTCAAAGGTCGCTGACCTTTGACTTTCACGCTCCCGCACCGGCTACATCTACCGCCTCGAACCTATCGGACCGATCTCCTGGCAATCGAGCAAGCAGGAATTAATTGCTCTCTCGTCAGCTGAAGCAGAATATATTGCACTCTGCTCAGCCACCAAGGAAGGACTCTATCTTCGCGAGCTGCTGGAAGAAGCGAAGTTAGCCGAGTTACCCAACTTCACTCTGTTCTGCGACAACCAATCTGCAATTCGCATCGCCAACAAAAATGGATTCGCGAACAGAACGAAGCATATCGCTCTGCGATATTTCTTCGTGAAAGACGAGATTGAGAAGGGGAGACTTGAACTATCCTACTGTCCCACGTCCGAGATGGCAGCTGACTACTTGACCAAGAAGCTCGGAAAACAAAAGTTCGAGTACTGCATGCTGCTGACTGGACAAAGCCACGTCACCAGCAGCGACACTCCAGAAGCGAAGGGGAGTGTTGGGAACAAACAATCTTAAGCGCCTCTGTCGTGTCGAAACACCAAGGCACAAGCGAAGCAGAGCATATCGAGGCACCAGCGAGTCAACCCTCGGAGGTTGAAGTAACCGCTGGAGGTTACGCGACATTAGAAGAAAAGGATTACCATGTTGTTTTACTTGGAGAAAAACAAGCGACCCAAGCGACGCAGCGCAACTGTTATACAGTTGCGCCTTGGTAACTGTTTGCCCTATGCGTTTGCTATATAACAACATGTAATGCCTTGCTCATATTACACAATTCTCAAGCTTGTGTCCGGCCTACCCTCGGCCGCTGCTTTGGCACCACGTTACAAGCCAGGAGAGCTACCTCTGAGTGACCAATAGCCCCCGCCGTAGGGACGTCGTTAATTCCTAGAGCTTCCGCTGCGCTCTAGCGACTTCTTATTTCCAACATGGTATCAGAGCACATATGTTGTCCGCAGCAACTGTCCAAGAACCATGTATCCTTCCCGGACGGCTCGCTTTGAGCGATGGCGGCGTACGTCGGGTTCGGTTGAAGTGACTCGCGGCGAGGCGTGCTGTTGTCGAGTTGTTCTTCTGGTGAGTAATATGGTGGTGACTCAGTTACGCAGGAGTCACTCAGCCTTGCCATGCAGCTGACGATGTTTCTTGTTCCTTTCGCAGGTTGTCCCGTCGATGTTGTTGAGACTTGTACTGAAGTTGTCGGATTTGCTTGCGTTGAGGCGACTTGACTGCTTGAAGGGCGAAGTTGGCGTTGCGGCGACGTTGACTGTTGTCGATTCGGGCAGTGCGTACGAGGATGCCCTGAAGTCTTGCAGAGGTGGCAGAACGGAGGTACGATTTTCGGTCGATTGTTGTTGTTGTTGTGGCGCCGTTGAGTGTGAAACGCGAATTCGGGCACTGATACCTTTCTCTTGTGTCGTTCTTCTTGCAGGTCCATGTCTTGCTGCTCGGCGTGGATTTCGGCGTCGATTTCTGCGCTGCATTAGATTTGACACAAAACAAAACGCTTGAAGATATGTACAGAAATAAGATATTTGGTACCGGATTGAGATTTTAGGTGACCTTGGAGTCCTAATCAAGGCTAATTTTATCAGTGTAAATCACCCTGATACCCTGATTATCATGGTGGTTTTTGGTAGTCACACTAATGGCCTAGGGTAATTTTTTGTGGAGCTATGATTTTCCTGATATGCCAGGGTTCACATTTCAGGCACACTGATGCCTCAGGGTTACCGTTCTTCATAACGAGTTTTACCCTGAAGCGAGTACCATACCCCCCCCCCCCTCCCCCTCCCCCCACTTCCCCCACCCCCCCTTTCCCGTAACCCCGGGATTCCCGATTGCCAAATGTCGAAACCGGAATTTGAGCCTGCTGAAGTAACTGACGACGAGCAACACCCATGTGGCATGTATGATCTAAAAAAAATATTGTGTGCAACGATAATATCAATTCATAAGGGTTTGCTAAACTGGTACACTGATGCCACAGGGTTGGATTTAAAAAAAAACAAGAAAAACACTGATGGATCAGGGTTTGAAGAAGGTGTCACACTGATAATCAGGTTTTTGAACAGGTGCAACACTGATCACAAGGGTTGCTCAAAACCAAAAATTAGCCCTGGTCCTAAGTTGCTAGACAAAAACGGTCATTTGTGTTGGAAACAAATAACTTAAACGCTTCTGAAGTAATCGAAGCATCGACACGAAACGAAGCAGACTACAAGCGAAACAACACGCGAGTCAACTAAAGACAAACGCTGGAGGTTACGCGAAGGTCAAAGGTCACTGACCTTTGACCTGACAAAAAATGCAGTGCGACAGCAAGGACACATAACTGACTCGATACTGAGCAGTTACCCGAGTCGTCACTGTATCGAACCGCAACAGCAGAAACAGTTAAAATCGAGCTTTCTGTCAGAACATTATAGCTTATGCTGTTGTGTAGGCTATAGTGGGGTATCCCATAGGGGGTACAACCAATTAGGGTTTCATATTTGTACTCACTTCATTTTAATAGTTCAGCCATTTCTCGTTCTCATTCTCACATGGAATCAGAGCAGGTCCCCTCCTAGGGACTGTTCCTTGGGCCCACCGAAGCGCGCCTCGAGTCGCGCCTGCCTTTTTTTAGCGGCCCGTCGAGTCGCACCTAGCGGCCCGTCGCGCCGCCCTTACGGTCGCGTCGAGCCGCCCTAGCGGCTGCGGCGCGCCGCCCTTTTCCCGGCCCGTCGCCGCCCTTACCCGCGGCTTTGCGCCGCCCTCACCGGCGGCTTCGCGCCGCCCCTACCTGCGGCTTCGCGCCGCCCAGGCCCGTCGCCGCCCTTCCCGCGGCTTCGCGCCGCCTCTACCTGCGGCTTCGAGCCGCCCCGGCCCGTCGCCGCCCTTACCTGCGGCTTCGCGCCGCCTACGGCCCGTCGCCGCCCTTTTCTGCGGCCCCGCCGCCTCTCTCGTTGCGGCCCCGCCGCCCGTCTTCGCGGCCCCGCCGCCATCTCTCGCTGCGGCCCCGCCGCCACTCACTGCGGCCCCGCCACCCGTCTCAGCGGCCCCGCCGCCCGTCTTCGCGGCCCCGCCGCCTCTCTCGCTGCGGCCCCGCCGCCTCTCACTGCGGCCCCCGCCGCCCTACTCAGCGGCCCCGCCGCCCGACTTCGCGGCCCCACCGCTTCTCTCGCTGCGGCCCCGCCGCCTCTCTCGTTGCGGCCCCGCCGCCCTTCACTGCGGCCCCGCCGCTTCTCTACAGCGGCCCCGCCGCCCTACGTCAGCGGCCCAGCCGAGCCGCCCAGCAGCAGAGCAGCCGAGCCGCCCCGCCGCCAAGCCGCGCTGCAGCCGAGCCGCCCGGCCGCCCACTAGCCGAGCCGCCGTGCAGCCGACCGCCCAGCCGCCGAGCCGCCCAGCTGCCGAGCCGCCCAGCCGCCGAGCCGCCCTGCAGCCGAGCCGCCCGAGCAGCCCTGTCCGGTGAGCACAGACCCTCTGTCACTGCGTGCTCTTCCCCTACTCCTTGCACTGCTGGTCTACTGCTGTCATGGCTACCCCTAGTGTCCTCACTTTTGACGCTGAGGGTCGGGCCATTGACTTTGAGGTCTGGGTAGATGACCTACAGCTGTTCTTACAGTGCGATAGGGCGGACGGCCTCTCTCTCTTTGACCTCACCTCTGGCGCTTCCCCTGCCCCTGCTGCTGATGCTGACGCCACTGTTCGCTCCCAGTGGGCCACGCGCGATGCTGCTGCACGTCTTGCTGTGCGTCGCCACCTCCCTACCTCCGAGCATGCGCACTTTAGTCAGTACAAGAGTGCTCAGACCTTGTACGCCGCTGTAGTCGCGCGCTACTCCTCCCCTTCCACTGCTGCACTGAGCCGTCTCATGCTGCCGTACCTCTTCCCTGACCTTGCTTCTTTTCCCACCGTTGCTGACCTCATTACGCACCTCCGCACTAGTGACACTCGCTACCGCGCTGCACTTCCTGCTGACTTCTGCACCGCGAACCCCCCCCCCATGTACATCACTCTGTACTTCCTAGTCACTCGCCTCCCTGACTCCCTTCGAGTAGTCAGGGACCACTTTCTCTCAGTCTGTCCCACCACACTCACTGTAGACCTCCTCGAGAAGGCCCTCCTCGCGATAGAAAAGAGCATAGTCGCTGTAGGAGCCTCTCGAGGTGACCCGCGCACCCCCATCTTTGAGGGGTGTTCTCCCTCCCCCCTGCTGCCCTCTGTTGCCTCTGCTGCTTCGGCCGACCTCCTTGGTCTTGAGTCGGTCGGTGCGGTGTCTGCCCCTAGCGGGAGACGCCGCCCTGGCAAGGGCAAGGGGGGCAAGGGAGCTGGAGGAGCGGGCGGTGGAGGTGGAGGTGGAGGCAGTGGGGGGAGTGGGGGTAGCGGTGGAGGTGGAGGTGGGGGTGGGGGGTTCGGTGGCGGCAGTGGAGGCGGAGGCCGCGGCGGCGGTGGCGGTGGTAGCGGAGGTGGCGGAGGAGGCGGCGGTGGAGGAGGCGGTGGAGGCGGCGGCGGCAGTGGAGGCAGCGGAGGCGGTGGAGGCGGTGGGGGTGGCGGTGGAGCTGGTCGCGGGTCTTTGCAGAGGAGTGGCTCCGGTGGTGGCTCGCGCCAGCAGCAGCAGCGTGGTCGTGCGACCCTGTCCCCTCAGCAGCTCCGTGAGTGGTACACTGCACGCCAGCGGGGTGGGGGTTTTGGTCCGTGTACCTACGTCCTGCGCACCGGCGACCGTGCGGGTGAGCAGTGTGGGGGTGCGCACCCCACTCCGCGCTGCTTTGGCCGCCTGACGGACGCATGGCGTCACCAGTTCCCGGAGGCCTCCAAGATCCCTCGCTGGGACGAGCTGTCTAGGGCGGGGGTTGCCATCTTTGATCTGGACTTTGATGCTATTCTCTCTGCCATGTATGCTGTGTCTATTAGTGATGAGGGTGACTGTTACCGGTGTTTCCAGCCCGATCCGGGCATTGAGACTGCTGCTCTAGGTACTGGTGAGGCTGCTGCCCTAGGTGCTTACGACGCTGCTGCTCTAGGTGCTGGTGTGTCTGCGTCCTCAGGTACTGGTGAGTCTGCTCTCTCAGGTACCGCGTCGGCTTCGGCCTCCCTCACCTTCACTCTTGACTCTGGGGCGTCTCGCTCCTTCTTTCGGGACCGCACCACACTCACGCCGCTTAGTCGGCCGGTTGCGGTGTCTCTGGCTGACCCCTCTGGGAGTCCGGTCCTGTCTCGTTTCTCCACAGTCCTCCCGTGTCCGGCGGCTCCCTCTGGCACCCTGTCTGGTCTCTACCTCCCCTCGTTCTCGACGAACCTGGTGAGTGGTGCTGACCTACAGGATGCGGGTGTCCACCAGTTCACACCTGCACGTCAGCGAGTGACCCACTGTACAGAGGCTGGCACAGGCCGACACCTGGCTACGTTCACCCGTCAGCCGGGGTCGAGCCTGTACACTCTGACCACTGCGTCTCCTCCAGTTGCTGAGTCTGGTAGGGTAGTTACGTCGGGTCAGGTGTTTGCTGCGGCGTCCAGGTCTGGTCCTGAGTCTGCCCCCTGTTCGTGTCGTCTCCTGTCTCACGAGACTCTCCTCTGGCACCACCGCCTTGGCCACCCCTCTCTGCTTCGGCTCAGAGGTATGGCCTCCCGTCTTCTTGTGTCCGGTCTCCCCCGGTCCCTCCCTCCCCTTCCTCAGGGCCCTGGCCCTGCCTGTGTCCCCTGTGTCGAGGGGCGCCAGCGTGCTGCCCCTCACTCCTCCCAGTTTCCTTCGACAGAGGCCCCGTTGCAGACACTTCACATGGACGTGTGGGGCCCAGCCCGCGTCCGTGGACAGGGTCACGAGCGCTACTTCCTGCTCGTTGTTGACGACTACTCGCGTTACACCACAGTCTTCCCCTTGCGCAGCAAGGGTGATGTCACTGAGGTGCTGATCGACTGGATCCGCGCAGCTCGTCTCCAGCTCAGGCAGAGCTTCGGCTCGGACTTTCCTGTTCTGCGTCTGCACTCAGACAGAGGCGGAGAGTTCTCCTCTGGCCTTCTGCGTGCCTACTGTCGTGCACGGGGCATCCGTCAGACCTTCACGCTTCCGGACTCACCGCAGCAAAATGGGATTGCTGAGCGCCGCATTGGCATGGTCATGGACGTCGCTCGTACGTCTATGATGCATGCGGCTGCCCCCCATTTTCTGTGGCCGTTTGCGGTGAGGTACGCGGCGCATCAGATCAACCTCCACCCCAGGGTCTCCAGGCCGGAGACCTCCCCAGCCTTGCTGTGGACGGGGAAGGTTGGCGATGCGTCGGCGTTCCGGGTCTGGGGATCTCGGGCGTTTGTCCGCGACCTGTCTGCGGACAAACTATCCCCTTGTGCTGCTCCTTGCGTCTTCCTGGGGTTCCCCCCTGACGCGCCTGGGTGGCAGTTTTACCACCCCACCTCTCGCCGTGTTCTGTCCTCCCAGGACGTCACGTTTGACGAGTCGGTCCCCTACTACCGCCTCTTCCCCTACCGCACTCCGTCCCTCCCCCCACCCCCACTCTTCCTGGTACCAGGTCCCCCCCAGGTAGACCCCCTCCCCCCTCAGGGTCCTGCCCCTTCAGGTGTGTCCCAGGTAGACGCAGTCGAGCCTGTCGAGGTCACTGGTGACTCTGGTGCTGCTGAGGGTGCTGAGGCTGGGGGTGCTGTACCTGGGGGTGCGGAGCCTAGGGGTGCTGGGCCTGGGGGTGCTACGTCTGGGGGTGCTGAGCCTAGGGGTGCTGAGCCTAGGGGTGCTGAGCCTGGGGGTGCTGAGCCTGGGGGTGCTGAGCCTGGGGGTGCTGAGCCTAGGGGTGCTGAGCCTGGGGGTGCTGAGCCTAGGGGTGCTACGCCTGGGGGTGCTGAGCCTGGAGGTGCTCCGCCTGGAGGTTCTCCGAGTGCTTCGTCTCGCCGGGAGCCACTTTCTCCACAGGAGCTGCGTGAGTGGTTTGCCCGGCGCTGGAGGCGTGCTGCTGGTGCTGGAGGTCCTTCGGCTGCTGAGGGTGCTGCGGTCGCGGGTCCCAGAGGTGCTCGTCCTGGGTGCACTGGAGCTGGTGCTGCTGAGGGTGTTGGCGCTGAGACTACCGCTGGCAGTCCTACTGGGGGTGCTCCTGGTGCTGCTGGAGGTTCTGGAGCTACTGGTGGTGCTGCTGGAGCGGGTGCTCCTGCTGAGGGTTCTGGTGCTGTCCCTGCTGCTTCTAGCGTCGCCGCGCGGCCTCGACCGTACTTCGTTCCACTCCTGCAGCAGGTTCTTGGTCTTCCACCTTCTACTGGTCCTCCTCCTCCCTTAGAGTGTCCACAGCCTGTCTCGTCCCAGCTACAGTTGCAGCCTACCTCCCCTTTGCCTGCTCCTTCTCCCTACACTGGTCCTACTGGAGGTCTGGCTGAGCGTCGTGAGCCTGCGTCTCGCCCTACGTCGCCTGTCCGTGCTGCTCGCACTAGTGGTCGCGGTTCGCGTCAGCGTCCTCCTCCTGTCCCTGGCACGCACCGGATGTCTCTGCGTCCGTCCACTGCTCCTCTGCGTGCCCCTTTGCCTTCTACTCCTGAGTCCTCTCTTCCTGCTCTTGCCGACCCGGAGTCGGACTCTCTTCGTGCTGCCAGTCCTACTGTCACGCGTCTCCTTGCTACTGTTGTCACTGACCCTTCTTTCGAGTCTACTGCTGCGTCTGCTCTCGTTACTGAGCTCGTCGACTTTGCTGCTCGCTGTCGCTTAGACTACGCTGCTAGTCTTGTCGCTGAGTCTGAGTCTGTCTGTCCTCCGTCCGTCGGGGGTGAGTGTGCCCTTGGCACGGACGTCCTTGAGGACAGGCAGGAGGAGTTCCAGTGTCTGGCAGCTGCCTCACCTCATCTCGTGTCCGTACTGCTTACCCCTGAGGGAGACCCGGATGCACTTGACATCCCGACTCCGCGCTCTTACGCGGAGGCGATAGAGGGTCCCTACTCCTCTCAGTGGCAGGCAGCTATGGATGCAGAGATGGCTTCCTGGAAGTCCACAGGCACCTACGTTGACGCTGTCCCCCCTCCTGGGGCGAACATCGTCAGTGGCATGTGGATCTTCAGGGTGAAGCGGCCGCCGGGTTCTCCGCCTGTCTTCAAGGCGCGTTACGTGGCTCGTGGCTTCAGTCAGCGGCAGGGAGTTGACTACTTTCAGACCTTCTCCCCCACCCCGAAGATGACCACTCTTCGGGTACTGCTGCACGTTGCTGCTCACCGTGACTACGAGCTGCACTCTCTTGACTTCAGCACAGCTTTCTTGCAGGGCAGCCTGCACGAGGAGATCTGGCTGCGTCGCCCACCTGGCTTCACTGGGTCTTTCCCTCCTGGTACCCAGTGGAGTCTCCGGCGTCCAGTCTACGGTCTCCGCCAGGCGCCACGTGAGTGGCACGACACACTGAGGACTACGCTTGCGGCTCTTGGGTTTGCTCCTTCTACTGCCGACCCGTCGCTGTTTCTACGCACCGACACCTCTCTGCCGCCGTTCTACATCCTCGTGTACGTCGACGACTTGGTCTTTGGCACAGCTGACACTGCTGGACTCGCCTACGTGAAGTCCGAGCTGCAGAAGAGACACACGTGCACAGACCTGGGTGAACTGCGCAGCTACCTTGGCTTGCAGATCACCCGGGACAGAGCACGCCGCACCATTACCCTGACTCAGTCACACATGGTGCAGCAGGTCCTTCAGCGCTTCGGCTTCACGTACTCCTCGCCTCAGGCCACTCCTCTGTCTACTCGCCACTCGCTCTCAGCTCTGCCTTCGGATGAGTCCGTAGAGTCGAGTGGCCCGTACCCAGAGCTTGTTGGCTGCCTCATGTACCTGATGACCTGCACACGACCTGACCTCGCATACCCTCTTAGCATTCTTGCACGCTATGTTGCTCCTGGGAGACACAGACCAGAGCACATGGCTGCAGCGAAGAGGGTGTTGCGCTACTTGTGCAGTACGTCGGGCATGGGGCTAGTGCTTGGAGGGCGGAGTCCAGTGGTCCTCACTGGGCACGCGGACGCTTCTTGGGCTGACGACCAGGCTACGCAGCGGTCGTCACAGGGTTACACCTTCAGCCTTGGTTCCGGCTCTGTTTCGTGGCGGGCTACTCGCTCGTCTTCTGTTCTTGGCTCGAGTTGTGAGGCTGAGATCTACGCCGGGGCCATGGCTGCACAGGAGCTTCGCTGGCTCACCTACCTGCTGACCGACCTTGGAGAGCCGCCTCGTTCTCCTCCAGTCCTGTACGTAGACAACAAGGCCATGCTGGCCTTGTGTCGAGAGCAGCGACTGGAGCACAGAACAAAGCACATTGCTCTCCGCTACTTCCTTGCTCGTGAGCTACAGCAACGTGGACAGTTGCGGCTTGCGTACGTGGCCTCTGAGGCCAACACTGCTGATGTCTTCACCAAGGCACTTCCGCCTTGTGATCATCAGCGCTTCTGCACTCAGCTGAGTCTTGTGCCTGTCTTGCCTCACTTGCTCTCCTCTTGACCTTGCTTGTACTCTCACATATATATACACCTGCTCTTGCTTGTCTAGCTTTATATATATGTGTGTACTCTTGCATGTGAACTGGCCGTGTGGCCTTGACCCTGTGCTCGGACTGTGTGGTGACTTTGTGATCCACCCTGAGCTTGCTTTGCTTTGCTTTGCTTGACTGGTCTTGTGACCCCTTGTTCTCCCCCACTTTGCCTATGGGGGTGTGTCAGAACATTATAGCTTATGCTGTTGTGTAGGCTATAGTGGGGTATCCCATAGGGGGTACAACCAATTAGGGTTTCATATTTGTACTCACTTCATTTTCATAGTTCAGCAATTTCTTGTTCTCATTCTCACACTTTCCATATTCCTTTGTAATCATATAAAAGCCTTGCAGTTACCCGAGTCGTCACTGTATCGAACCGCAACAGCAGAAACAGTTAATCTTGTTCTCACATACCAGTGCAAGGTGGTTCAAGTTAATACTACTATCACGCTTCCGCAACTGCAACATCACTACTTCAACAAAATCTTAGCCTTGAAAGATCCTAAGGGCTATTTCTTAGCCCAACATGGTATGAGAGCAAACATGGCAAGATCGATTTCTCAAATACCTACAACAACGCAAGGCATGACAACACAGAAGGAGAGGAGCTCCTCTAACGGATCTCCCGGCACTACTCGTACTCCACCTCCAGCCTCTGGTCTACAGACAGAAGAAGGCATAGCAACAAGACCAGCTGCGGAGTCAGCCGAAACTCCCGGGAATCAAGCACCAGGCTTCGACCCAAGTATGATGGAGAAGTTCTTCTCCTTCATGCCCTTCTACGAGCAACACCAGCAAGCAGTTCCTGCACAATCAAACAACAGCGACAACAACGACATGGCTGTTCCAATGAGCCTTGACAGTTCATCGTATGCGCGCGGAAATCAACAGCAACCCACCTTTGCTCCGTACGAACCTCAACGTGGCTCCATCAGCTTCGCGCCATACCCACAGTCTTCACCTGGACAAGAGAAGACGTTGGACGCCCTTCAAGTTCAATCACAGTTCGCACATGTGTTAAAACTGCAGACATCAATACCCTTCGACGGAAAGGACTTCTATACCTGGTCATTCGAATTTGAGCTAATGATGGAGGGCGCACAAATACTCGGATTCTTCGACGGGTCCCTGCCATACCCAACGCATGGGACACAATACGACAAGCAGCAGTATACATATCAGTCGCTGATGGCGTACACGATATTTCTTCGAAATTTAACGCCAAACGAGCAGCAGAACATTCGGTCTTATCGAGGATACGGCAACTCCGCCGAGCTGGCGTACGACCACCTGAAGAGCCTATATCAAGCAACAGACAGCATTAACCAGGGTCGTCTCATGGCACAGCTAACAACAGTGGAAATGAAACCCGGCGAAAAGGGAATGGCATATATCAGCCGTTGTCGTGGACTGCGCGACAAACTCCTTCGATGCGGAGGATCAATATCCGAAGAAGCCTTCGTAACAATCATCATCGCTAGCCTCGATCCTCATTGGCGCTCGACTCGAGCACTCCTTCGAGCTCATGGAAAAATCACCGAAGCAGCACTCTGCGCCGAAATTCATGATGAACAGCAGGACATGGACCTGCACGAAGAACGACACAAGAAGAAAGCGTCAATACCAGAATTCGCGTTTCACACTCAACGACGCTACAACAACAGCAACAATCGACAAAACAACCGTCACGTTCAACAATACGTCCCACCATTCTGTCACCCCTGCAAGACGTCTGGACATCCTCGCACACACTACCCGAATTGGCAGCAGTCGACATCGCCGCAAAGTCAACTTCGGCCCTCAAGCAGTCAAGTAGCTTCTACGCAGGCACATCCCACCAATCATGTGCAGTCTTCAACGTCTTCAACGTCTTCAACGACAAAACCTGTACAAGGAACAAAAAACATCGTGAGCTGCATGACAAGAACAACAGACAACTGCATCATCGGATCACCACCCCACTACTCACCAGAAGAACAGCTCAACGAGAGCACTCCTCGCCGTGAATCACTGGAGCCCAACCCGATATATGTAGCCATCGCCCAGAGCGAGCCGTCTGGAAAAGACACTTGGTTCTTGGACAGTTGCTGTGGACAGCACATGTGCTCCTCGGGTCGCTTCGTTCAACAGGAACATCAACTTCAGCGCGAAGTTGTAATCACCGTCGCCAACAACCAGAACCTGCACACACGACGACAAGGGATAGTGCAACTTCAGTCTCGAGAAACTAACGTCATTTTACAAATGTCAAAAGTTTTGATTGCAGAAGGAATCGGCTACAACTTACTCAGGAATTCATCTCGAAGCAGACAACACCACTCAGGAATTTAA